CCAGCCACTCTCCCTGCCCCCCACTTTCCTGTCCTGTTTTGGGACGGGGGGCGGCCTCAGAAGAGGGAGCGGTCCCCGAAACTCCCGCCTACGCCCCTGACCCATGAATCGGGGAAGGTGTGGTTCCGGCGCCGTGCGCGGCGGGCCAATCGGAGCCGGCTCCTGGGGACACTTGGGCGCTGCTGGTTCGCTGTCAAACGCTGGGTCCCGGTGTGGACGCTGTCACTGGAGAGATCCCCAAAGTGCTAGGTTCTTTGGACGAGAACACAGCATCCATCCTCTCTTGGCTGCCCGCGCTGTTCGGTCCTGCCGAGTTCATATCTGGATCCCCCTCAGGTGCAAGCACGCAGTAAACATTTGTTGGCCGACTCTTAATATTTGGAGAAGCTCGCACATCTTCCTCTCCCTCGTTTTCCAGTAATTTAAACTACCTTTTATTTTTTTACACTTCTCTTGGATTTATTGGGGTGACTTAATCACCATACTGTTGTCTGAGTCTAGGAGGGTTTTCTGGTTTGTTTGTTTCGTTGGTTGTGTGTGTGTGTGTGTGTGTGTGTGTGTGTGTGTGTCTGTGTTTTGCTTAATTCCTTCACTTTTTTCACCTAGGCCCACGACCCCCTTCCCTCTGACACCTGTTAGCCTGTTTGTTCTCTATGAGTTTTTTCTATTTTGCTTGTTAGTATCATTTTGTTCATTCGATTCCACATATGAGTGAGATCATACAGCACCTGCCTTTCTCTGACTGGCTTATTTCGCTTAGCACGGTGCTGTATAGGTCCCTCCATGCTGTTGCAAAAGGTACTATTCCATGGTGTAGATGTATCACAGCTGTTCTATGTTATCCACTCATCTACTGATTGACACTCAGGCTGCTTCCAAATCTTGGCTGTTGTAAATGGCGCTGCAGTGAACATGGGGCGGCATATGTTCTTTTGAGTTAATGTTTCAGGCTTCTTCAGATAAAGTCCCAGAAGTGGAATCGTAAGGCAGTTTCATTTTTAATTTTTTGAGGTGAACTCCATACCGCTTTCCACAGTGGCGGCACCCATCAGCCTTCCCACCCACAGTGCAGGAGGGTTTTCTCTGAATCCTCCCAGCACTTGTTGTTTGTGGGTTTATTGAGGATAGCCATTCTGACAGGTGTGAGTCATATCTCGTTGTGGTTTTAATGTCCATTTCTCTGATGATTAGTGCTGTTGAGTATCTTTATATGTGTGTCGGCCATCTGTATATCCTCTTTGGAGAAGTGTCAGTTCAGCTCCTTTGCCCACTTTTTAATTGCATTGTTTGTTTTTGGTGTTGAGTTTTATAAGTTCCTCATAAGGATAGCCATTCTGACAGGTGTGAGTCATATCTCATTGTGGTCTTAATGTCCATTTCTCTGATGATTAGTGATGTTGAGTATCTTTTTATATGTGTGTCGGCCATCTGTATATCCTTTTTGGAGAAGTGTCAGTTCAGCTCCTTTGCCCACTTTTTAATTGCATTGTTTGTTTTTGGTGTTGAGTTTTATAAGTTCCTCATAAATTTTGGATAGTAACCCCTTATCAGATATATCATTGGTAAATATATTCTTCCACTCAGTGGGTTGTCTTTTCATTTTGTTGATGGTTTTCTCTGCTGTGCAAAACTTTAATGGATGTAGTCCTTATTTATTTTTTTCTTTTGTTTCCTTTGCCCAAGACAATGTATCAAAAAAAAATTGTTGCTATCTTTCTCTGATGATTAGTGATGTTGAGTATCTTTTTATATGTGTGTCGGCCATCTGTATATCCTTTTTGGAGAAGTGTCAGTTCAGCTCCTTTGCCCATTTTTTAATTGCATTGTTTGTTTTTGGTGTTGAGTTTTATAAGTTCCTCGTAAATTTTGGATGTTAACCCCTTATCAGATATATCATTGGTAAATATATTCTTCCACTCAGTGGGTTGTCTTTTCATTTTGTTGATGGTTTTCACTGCTGTGTAAAACTTTAATGGATGTAGTCCTTGTTTATTTTTTTCTTTTGTTTCCTTTGCCCAAGGCAATGTATCAAAAAAAAAATTGTTGCTATCAGAAATGTCTGAGCTCTTACTGCCTATGTTTTCTTCTAGGATTTTTATGGCTTCAAGTCTTACATTGTAGTTTTTAATCCATATTGAATTTATTCTTGTGTATGGTTTAAAATAGGGTCTAGTTTCATTTTTTGCACATATCTGTTCAATTTTCCCAACACCATTTATTGAATAGACTGTCTTTACCCCCTTGTATGTTCTTGTCTCTATTCTGTTCCATTGGTCTATATGTCTATTCTTATGCCAGTATGATGCTGTTTTGATTACTATGGCCTTATAGTATAGTTTGATATCAGGTAATAGGATTCCTCCAAATTTGTTCTTTCTCAAGATTGCTGTGGTTATTCAGGGTCTTTTGTGGTTCCATATAAATTTTTAGAATATTTGTTATAGTTTTGTGAAATACACCATTGGTATTTTCATAGGCATTGCATTGAATCTATAGGTTGCTTTGGGTAGTATGGACATTTTAATGATGTTAATTCTTCCTATTCATGAACAAGATATATGCTTCCACTTTCTGTATCTTCAATTTCTTTCTACAATGTCTTATAATTTTTCTGAGTACAAGTTTCTTACAGCCTATGTTAAATTTATTCATAGGGTTTTTGTTTGTTTGTTTGTTTTAATCCTCACCCAGGAATATGTTTTTTTGTGATTTTAAGAGCGAGGGGAACATCAATGTGAGTTAGAAACATCCAACAGTGCAATCTAGGTATGTGCCCTGACCAGGAATCGAACCCTTAGCCTTTTGGTGTATGGGATGACAGTCCAACAAACCAAGCCACCAAGCCAGGGATTTTATCTTATTTTATTTTATTGATGTAATTGTAAGTAGGATTGTTTATTTCATTTGCCTTTCTGATAGTTCATTATTGATTTATAAAAATGCAACTGATTTCTGGGTATTTATTTTATATCCAGCTACTTTACTGAATTCATTTATTAGTTCTAGTAGCTTTTTGGTGGAATCCTTAGGGTTCTCTATCACAGTATTATGTGTATAGAGAACAATTTTACTTCTTCCTTTCCAATTTGGATACTTTTTATTTTTTCTTATTTTCTGAATACTGTTAGGTCTGATCAAATAATTGAATTGATAACTTTCCCCCTGGGAACTGACCTTTAGGCACTTCACAACAGACATTCCACTTGCTTAGATCATTATCTCTCCCCTCTGGACTTTCCCAGAATCCAGACCTGCACAGAGAATTCTCCACCCAGAGAAAGCCCACCTAGGGTCCTTTAAAAAATATCTGTCTCCCTGTCTTTGGGTGCTGGTGCCATTTTGGATCTCAGCTCATCTGGGTTTTCAGGTGACCTAATCCTATATAATAAAGAGGTGATATGCAAATTGACCATCACACCCTCTCACAAGATGGCTGC